GGGGGGGGGGGGGGAGGCACCGAGCGGAGATGAGAACACACAAGGCATCCAAGACAAGTGACCTGTGTACAGAGTCCTCTCTTTCCCTCTGGGCACCAGACTAATGCAGGCTGGGAATGGGTGTCAATGCCTGTCCCTTTCCTCGGTGATCACTGACCCCAGGCTCCCCCACGGGACTGTGCTGTGGTCCTGTGAGGGGCCTGCGAGAGCCTGGGGGAGAGTCCAGCGGGGCAGGCCAGTGCTTCTGCTGCGGGCGGGGCCAGGCACCTGATCCCCCTGGAAACTCTCCTGCAAAGCCCAGTCCTCCGCCTGTACCTGGAAAGTGTGCCAGGAGGCCCTTGATAAGATCTTAAGTCTTCAAGGAATAATGGGCATGGCTTTAGACACCAGCTTTTCCTGCAGGCAGCTCCCTTTCAGCCCTCTCTGGACATGAGCCTTATCATTGCAGTCCCCTGAGGCCGGCAATCTGCCCAGGGCCGGGCACTGAGCTAGGCACAGAGCCGGGGCCCTCTAGAGCCTGCGGCCCAGTGGGGAGTAAGAAGCTCACACGGCCCTTGAAGAATCCCCTGGGCTCTGGAAGGGTAGCGGAGAATGAGAGGTGAGAGGTGTCCTGAGAGCCCGAACAGGCTGCTAGGAGGTGGGATGAAGAGGCGGGGAGGTGTAGGCCTACCTGGAGCTGTGCTGTGCGCACTTGAGCAAGTAACCTAACCTCTCTGAACCTCTGTTTTCTCTTCTAAGTAGTGTAATTATACCGATTTCATGGGGTTATAGTGAGGGGCAAGTGGGTGAAGGCATATCAAGTGCTGGAAGGAGGGTCTGTCACATGATACGGGGCACAGGACACATTAGCCATTCTAATCATTAGAAGTCACAGTATAATGCCCACTAGCCCGCTCTGAAAGCAGGGAATTGGGCTAGTCGCCAGGTGGCCTCTGGGGCGCTGTTCTAGTATTCTGTGAATGTAAACACTTCTAGATTTTGTAAGTAGGGGGGAAGGGGAAGATGCCTCTGGGTGAGGGGCACAGGGTGAGCAGAAGCAGAGAGGCGGAAAGAACATCGCATGTAGTTTTCTATGGCCTTGTGCCAAATTGCTACAAACGTAGTGGCTTAAAGTTTATTTATTATTTTGAGAGAGAGAGAGAGAGAGAGAGAGAATCTCAAGAAGGCTCCGCACTGCCAGCGCAGAGCCCAGCACGGGGCTCAAACTCACGAAACCGTGAGATCATGTCCTGAGCCAAAACCAAGAGCCGGGCGCTCAACCCACCGAGCCACCCAGGCACCCCCAAACTTAGTGGCTTAAAAACAAGACCTGCTGGGGCGCCTGGGTGGCTCAGTCGGTTAAGTGTCCGACCAGCCAGGTCACCATCTCAAGAAACCGCGGAGTTCGGAGCCCCGCTGCCGGCTCTAATGCTGATTGTTTTCCGGAGCCTGCTTCTGATTCTGTCTTTCTCCTCTCTCTGCCCCTCCCCCGTTCATGCTCTGTCTCTCTCGGTCTCAAAAATAAATAAACGTTAAAAAAAAAAAAAAAAAACACAAGACCTGCTTATTACGTCACCGTTCTAGAAGTCAGAAGTTCAGCTCAGTAAATCACAATACTGAAGTTAAAGTGTCCGCCAAGGTCAGTTCTCGTTTGGAGGCTGGGAGACAAAGTCTGCTCCCAAGCTCCCCGGATGTTGGCACCATTTACTTGCTTGCGGTTGTAGGACCCGGGTGCCCCTTCTCCTTGCCGGTCATTGGCCGGGGAGTGCTCTCAATCCCTGGAGGCTGCCTGCGCTCCTGGTACGTGCTCCTCCTTCAAGCCAGCAACGACGCGTGGGGTCTTTCTCCTGCTTTGAATCTCTGTCTCTACCCCCCACCCCAGACTGAAGGGGCTCCTGTGATTGGAGGAGGCCCTCCTGAATAATCTCCCTGTCTTAAGGTCTGCTGACTGGGAATTTAATTATATTTGCAAAACTCCTTCCCAGGAGTCCCTAGATTAGTGTTTGATTGAGTAACTGGGAGAAGGTATACACCCAGAACCCTCTTAGGGTTCTGCCTACCACACACGGCGTATGGCCCGGAGAAGGAGCGGGCTAAGAGGGGATCATGGGCAACCACAGGAGCAGGAGGGCTAAGGTGGGCGTTGGTGGTAGGAGGGATGTAAACCCACTATAAGCCTCGGATAGCAGGTGGAGGAAGGGGCATGGGACATCCCCACCGTCACCTCTGACTGTGGCCCTGCACCACTAGGCACGCTTCTCCCAATCAGAGCAGACTCTCTGTAGACCCACTGCCACCCTGGCCTCACTCTGATGAGGGCACCCTGGCCTGAAACTTTGGATTCTTCCCTCTGGGCCGGGTGGACATACCCATGAGCCCCTGCAGGCTGCCGAGCTCAGGAGCCCAGAGCAAGCCCTGCGTAGTCCCTCTGTAGCTGGCCTGGGGTCCCAGGGAGGCTGGGCCCCAGGCAGCAGCCAAAAGCCAAAACCCAAGCCTGGAAATCATTGAGGGATGTCTGTGTCCCCTCGGCCAGTTCTTCCTCTCCATCGCCAACACCCGCCTCTGAAAAGGCCGGCGGGGGCCTGGGGGAGTCCACATTCATGGTCCTAGCAGCATTTCTGGAAGTCAGCGGACCATTCCTTTCCCCGTCTTGGATCCATTACAGTTGAAAACTCAACAAACCCTTGGTAACTGGCGAATAACTACGTTCCAAAAAAGTTCTCAGTCATCCAAGGTTTTGAAATTCAAGTGTTCCTTTAAACATACCAGGGCCTTGCCTTTATTATCAATAGTCACTTTCTAGCTGCATGCAACCCCCTGTGGTCCCAGAGTCCTGTGCGTTATTCGGGTCTCCTTCGTGGCTCTACTGGTGGTAGTTTGAGACCATTCTGCTAGTTCTGGTGATGAAACCACGTATGGGTTGTACTTCCTCCAGCTGAACGGATTCCCCCATGGAGAGCACGAATTTGCAGATGATGAATGGGCCACCAGATAAGCCTTAAAGCCCCTTCCCGTCTGGCCTAGAGCCTGTCGGAAGGAAGGGGAGGGTCTTTGGTGGGAAGGGACACAGAGGTGAGAAAGGTCCTGGTCCTCCCCACTTCCGGGTGGGGTCCGGTGGGAGCTTCGGGGGACAGGAGTGGGCAGTGGGGGTGTCCCTGCGGGCCTGGGCCGCTGCAGTGGCTGGCTCCATCAATCTGGTCAGGAAGGACGGCAGTTATGTTGGCGGACTTCAGCAGGTATCCTGGAATGCCCGCCACATCGTGCCAGGCCACCACAGAGAGAGGGCCCAAGGGCTAACGAGAGAGTCACGCGCCTGTGGAGGGTGGCCAGACAGCGTCCGTGCCTAGGCCGTGCCCTCCCAGACCTCCACCAGGCCTCTCACGTTCCACCATCAATAGCCAGTCGCGTCCTTATAGACTGAGCACGGCATGCCCTGATAGCCACATCCTAACAAGGCTGCGAGATTGTGTCTACCACTTAAGGCCTAGAGGCCTGAGCTAATTTAGAGGAGAGTGTGGTATCCACAGAGGGAACATCTCTTTAGAAGGAGACATTTTCATTTATTTATTTATTTATTTATTTATTTATTTATTTATTTAGAGAGGGTGAGGGAGGGGCAGGGAGGGAGGGAGAGAACCCTAAGCAGGCACCCAGCTGTCGCGCACAGCCCGATGCGGGGCTTGAACTCACGAACCGTGAGATCGTGCCCCGAGCCAAAATCAAGAATCAGGCACCCAGCTGACGGAGTCACCTGGTGCCCCTAGAAGGAGACATTTTCTTGGAGGACCCAGGCCACCTAGAGGGTTTGTGTCTGGGGACCCCTTACATCCTAATGCTTGGGTCAGGGACGTCAAAGCCTCTGGTCTGTTTCATTCTGGTTTGTGATAGATTCTGCTAATTCCAGTTGGGAAGTGGGGCTTGGGTGGTAGGCTGGGCCCCTCCTCTGCCTTTTCCCAGGTGGTGAGGTCCAGCTACCACACAAGTTATCACACAAGTTACTGTGTTGGCCAGTGAGGCAAGTCACTGGCCTTCTCCGGGCCTCAGTTTCCCTTTGTGTACAAGGGGAGTTGCAGCACATTCTTCATACGGAAGGCCAGCTGGCACGCCATTGACTTCTCAGGGATGTTGGGAGGCCAAGGTGCCGTAATGGGTGAGAGAATGTTCCGGGAGCGGGGAGTAGTTCGCGAGTGGGGTGTCATCCCCGCCTCCAGCTACGTCTCACAGAGCCCGCTGTTCTGTCTCCTGCAGCCCGGACGCAGCCCCTGAGCCGGAGGGATGGAGAATTCCTCCGCCGCGTCAGCCTCGTCCGAGGCTGGGAGCAGCCGCTCGCAGGAAATCGAGGAGCTGGAGCGTTTCATTGACAGCTACGTGCTCGAGTACCAGGTGCAGGGGCTGCTGGCCGACAAGACGGAGGGGGACGGCGAGAGCGAGCAGACCCAGTCCCACATCTCCCAGGTGAGCGCTGCGCAGGTGCGGGGGCCTTGGCAGACTCGAACGTGCTTCCAAATCCCAAATCCGGGCAGCGTGTGGCCGCCTGGCCCTTGCTTGCTGAGGCACGGATGGCCCCAGGCAGCAGAGCACGGGCTCCAGGCAGGAAGCCCCCCTGCTCCGACTCTACTCCATCCCACCGGGCTGGGCAGCTGGGGCCTGGCCAGACTCACAATTCATTGAACCCGTGGTTATAGAGTTCCGGCCATATGCTAGGCACCGTTCCCTGTCCTCCACAAGCTCGTGTTCTAGAAGAGATCTGGAGGTTGTAGCTTATCAGGAATGCACACCGTATAAGGGTATAACTTGTGAGCGTTCTCTCCGATCTCAAATACAGGCAGTTGTTGGCGGCCACAGAACTGAGTCTCGTGCCGTCTGTCTCAGGCCTCAGGGGGCTCTGCGTGCCAGCCCTAGTTAGGCGCATGAGGCGTTTTGACTAGAACTTCAGGTTGGTGCCATCTGCTCCTGGGCTAGTCTGGCAGCCCAGACTCAGCCGACTCTGGGCCAGGATTTGGAAATCTTGAGTTCTCGAGAATAAAGTGTGAGCCATGCAGGGTAGTGGCCATATCGCATGCATCTTTCCTCAACGCCGTAAATTCCCGGTAGATACTTGTTTAAGAATTGGTTCCAGACTTGCTTCTAGCTGCCCGTGTGACTTTTGGCACAGCCCTCAACTTCTCCGAGCCTTGATTTTTCCTATCTGGTGAATGGAGATTATTATTCTGCTTCCTCAGGAATGTTGAAAGAGAAAAGGTGGGAACGTATGTGATGCTTTCCTTAGTGTCCTCGAAGTTTTGAATCACAATTAGTAGAAGCTTCTAACGTGTCCATTATTCGCTCTACAGTGTATATTGAGCACCCACCCTGTGTCTGACTCTGTTCTAGGGCTGGGCGTCTGGGAGGGAGCAAAAGAGTCATAAAGCTCTGCCCTCCTGGGACTTACATCCTGGGGGTGGGTGATAATCGCTGCGGAGGAAAATAAATTCAGAAAAGGAAATGGGGATGGGGCGCCTGGGTGGCGCAGTCGGTTAAGCGTCCGACTTCAGCCAGGTCACGATCTCGCGGTCCGTGAGTTCGAGCCCCGCGTCGGGCTCTGGGCTGATGGCTCAGAGCCTGGAGCCTGTTTCCGATTCTGTGTCTCCCTCTCTCTCTGCCCCTCCCCCGTTCATGCTCTGTCTCTGTCTGTCCCAAAAATAAATAAACGTTGAAAA